CAGCAGGAAGGGCTGGGGAAGCTTGGGCACTCGTGCTCTGGAAGCAGAGCCCTTCCAGGGAGTGAACAGTAGGTGACACAGTGTATTCTCCAGTGGGCCATGTCCTGGCCTCAGAAACCTGTGAAATACCCCAGACTCCCCCCCAACTATCAGAACCTGCAATGACAGGGACCTTTTCCCTTTCCACCGGCTTTCTGCTCTCCCCTGTTCTTCATGTATGGGAGCAGGTCTGGGTGCAGCAACAGGTATCTGTCCAATTGCAGAGCTTCCCAGAAAGCTTCCTGGAGCCTCTGCTCGTGGGCAGGAATGGGTCCTTCAGGCTCAGTTCTCACAATTTAAAAAAATGCACCTTGCCACCCTGCTGATGGACACTACTTAGAATTGATGGTTTCGAGTCTTTTCCTTTAATCTTTGTGGTTTTCAATCGCCAAAATCCCTGTCCATGTTACTTATCCCTTGATCAGCACCTTCTCCCATTTCTTCAGTGGTTGATAAAACATCAGACATCTCTCTAAGCCCCCCAATTGCAAACCTATCCCTCTCTCTCGTGACAGCCTCACCTACTTCATGAAGAAGGGGACTCACTATTGCATACATACGAACGAGTCACCTACATACAAACAAGTTCTGTTCGGAGAGTGTGTTCTAAGTCCAGTTTGTTTCGTAAGTCCAACGAAGTTAGCCTAGGTACCCAACTAAGACAATCAGCTATATAGTACTGTACTGTAATAGGTTTATAATACTTTTCACACAAATAATACATAAAAAACAAACAAAAAATAAAACATTTTTAATCTTACAGTACAGTACCTTGAAAAGTACAGTAGTACCAGCTACATCACCACTGCTTTTACACTTGCTTCCGGACATCCTGGGTTTGAAATAAAGATACTGTACTACTGTGCTCTATACAGTATTGTATGGTACAGTACACAAAAGCACAACCAATTGTAGAGGACGCACCCACGTGACAATGTACACCAGACACATAAACTAACTTACGTGATTGGACATGCAAGCGCATGTTCGCATCTTTGAAAGTTTGCAACTTGACGGTTTGTATGTAATGTCTTCAACTTTCCATCTTCAAACCTACAAACTTGGCCCCCACCACAATCCAGCTTCCACCTGCCTGGACTCCAGCCTCAAGTTGGCGAGGGCTCTCCTCCTGTGTCGGGTTGACCCTCCACCATCTGTGTTAAGGATTTGGATCCACCTCCAGTGCCTAAAAAGCAGTACCCCGCTCAGACCAGAGTCTCCTATCCACCATGTGGGGTTCTCCTTCCTGTCTGCAGCTTGCAGTCTCTCCACCCCTCCTCTGTCTCCCAACAGATCAGCCCTCTCCCCGAAGCTTTCTTTCCTATTCAGCCAGGACCCAAGGAGTCATAATCTAAAAGCTACTCTCTCATCGTAACCCTGCTTCTCTTGTCTTCCTGGCTTTCCGCCCAGCAGAACTCCAACCTGGATTCACACTCTGATCTGCCTGTGCAGTGTCCCCTCCCCCATGCTGCCCACTCCCCGGCCTGGCTGACAGCTGCTAGCCAGTGTCTTATTCCAGAGTAGAATGGTACACATTGTGCATCAGCTGGGCTCCCCACACCAGCCATTTCCTTGTCCTTGTCCAGCTTCCATCCTGCTCAACGGTGATTCCAGAGCGTCACCTCTTTCCTCAAGCCTCCTCTTCTCCCTGCCATACCTCTGAGAGAGGAGCTTCAACTTCCCATGCCCTCAACTACAAAGTCACCTCTGGCCAGAACTGTGAAGGGTCTGGGGTTTACCTTATGTTCAGGCTAACAGGTCAGCCTGCTACAGTTTTATGGACGCTGGCAGAAGAAACGAGACTACAGTGTCAGAGACAAAGGACATGATTACTCATGACACAGCAAGCAACACAGACTTCAAGAGAAGTCTTGCCCCTCCTTGTGCTTCAGACCCCACAAGGGTGAGGCAGAGGGACCTAGGAGGGGCCACACAACGGGTTTGCTGCACACTCAATGGGTCTGCAGCACAGCTGAGGAGCCCTGAGGAGAAAAAACAGAACATTCCACAGTGGGCTGCAAGCAAACCTGCCCTTGCCCTAGAGGAGGCATTAAAAATTATGCTGGGGGGCTTCCCTGGTGGCGCAGTGGTTGAGAGTCCGCCTGCCGATGCAGGGGACGCGGGTTCGTGCCCCAGTCCGGGAAGATCCCACATGCCGCGGAGCGGCTGGGCCCGTGAGCCATGGCCGCTGAGCCTGTGCGTCCGGAGCCTGTGCTCCGCAACGGGAGAGTCCACAACGGTGAGAGGCCCACGTACAGCAAAAAAAAAAAAAATGCTGGAATATGCTGGAAGTAAGAAAATCTGCCCTCTACTCCAGGTGGGGGTATTATCTGTATCTTCCAGGACTGTTTGTTATCTACTAACATTCTTGGAAAGAGTCTGGGACAATAGGCAGCTAGTGCCTCTGCTATCATGTGCAAAATATGCCCCACCCATTGCGGCCTCCCAACCTATTCATACCCATGCATCTTCACCTGCATCCCTGCAGGCTCTCCTCCAGGGAAAGCCGACCTCCCGCTGTGTGCTCCCACCTCTTCTGGTCTTGCTTTTGCAGCCATCTCCACCCTATCTACAGGGTCCTTATCCTGGCCTTTGAACATGCCCCCAAATATCTCATCCTGAAAAGCAAAGCAAAGCAAAACAAAGTCAAACAAAACCTCTGTTGAGCTGACACTCGTAGCTACCCTTTCCTTTTCATCCTTGTCCTTGGTGTGAAGTCCATGCTGTCACCATTTCTTTCTGGATCTGGTTTCTCTACCTACTTCACCACTGAAACTGTCCTCAGTGAGGCTACCAGGGCCTTCATCATTCCCAGTGGGACAATGGAGCAGACATTTTCCAGTTCTAGTCTAGAGGCTGTGTCTGCGTCTGCCTCTGAATTTGGGGAAAAAAAAAAAAAAAAAGGAGTCCGCCTCAGGGCTACTTTTAGGCTTTGTTAAATCCAACATCCAGCCACTCCCACGAGGTGGTTCCTGCTTCCTGCCTTTTTCCAATGTGAGTTATGCTTTCTTGTGTGGACCTGAAACAAGCAGACGGACAGATATTCCTCCAGCAAAAATGGTTTTATCTGACCTACTGTAGAGCACAGGGAACTATACTCAATATCTTGCAGTAATATCTTTTCCGATAATGGAAAAGAATCTGAAAAAGAATGGATATATAGATATTATCAATATGTACAATATATAACTGAATCACTTTGCTGCACACCTGAACCTCACCCAACATTGTAAATCAACTACACTTCAATTAAAAAAAAAAATTGGAATCAGCAGAGAATTGGAATTCAGGGTCTGCAACTATGGACCATGTGCAAGTCCCCCAGGGCAAGGGAAGGAGATGGCTTTTATAGAGGGGAAAAGGGAGTTGGGAGGGCTACTCCATGGCTTTTCATTGGCTGAGTCCTTGCCAGGAAGGAAGAGGAGTCTTTCTTCATCCTGTTGGGTTTTGCAGCCCTCGCAGAGGAGAGCTACCCTCTTCCGTCTCCCGGCTCTATTTAATTGAAGTTTCTGTTTATTAATTTTTTACGCCTGCTTCTTTGCTTGTCTAGTATATTTTTGTTGGAAACTGCACATTTTAGATAATGTAGCAACTCTGGGCACTGGTTCCCACCCCCACCTCCTGGCCCCAGGCTTATTGTTACTTGCTTGTTTGTTCAGTGACTGGCTGGTTTATTTTAGTGATGCCTCCCTCCTCACTCCCCTGAAGTGTTAAAGCTCTGTTGTTGCTCAGCAGGAGTGTGCAGTTCAGGGTCTGTCCACAGTCACCCTGGGACTGCACTGACTGGCTAGACTCTAATCCCCTCTTTCTGTTTCTTTCCCTGACCACACCCAGCTGTCAAGATCCATTAATTGACAGCTGTTGATCTATCGCTTACAAAAATGCCCTGGGACATAAATTGGTCTACAGCTCAGGCTCCTTTGAAGGAGTAGCTCCTGAGGTTGGTGTCTGCTGTTTCCCTCCCTGGTTCTCTCCTGCAAACTAGCTGGCTTACACTTTAGCCTGTATCTTCGTGGACTCTACCAGTCTCCTCCCAGTTGCCTTACGCTTTAGCCTGTATCTTCGTGGACTCTACCAATCATCTCCTCCCAGTTGCCTTTCGCCACGACCTCGTTTTTTGAGAGCATCCTTAGGCTTGAACCTTTTCACTCTCTGTTGCAAATGAAGTCAGTTCCTTTGGGAAGAGATTAGACCTGTCTGTTTTATAGCCTGCTTCTATCCCTGGGCAAAATCTCTGAGCCTGGACTCCAGCTGCGGGTGGGGACAGTGATGTGTTTCTCTCTGCCTGATACCCCTGTTTAGGAGTTGACCATGTGGCAGAAGAGCGGCAGTAGCCTCAGGTCTTCTCTGCTTGCCTCTCCTGGCATGGAACCACCACTTTATAGCCGGAGCAGGGATGACCAAGGTCCTAGTATCCTCAGTGACACAACGCCCGAGGTGGAGCCCCTGTTCCATGACTGGGGGCTGAGCAGAAGGGAGTCCCACCTCTGGGTTACACTTGCCCAGAACTTAGCCTCAGCAACAGGTAGCTGGGGCAGGATGAGAAATGCTGATGTATTGCTCCTCCCAGAAAGCAAGCCCTCTGACCAGGGACTGATGGGAGAGGGAGCCCTGTGCGCTTGGCTGTGCCAACCTAGAGTGGAGTTTTTGTCTCCACTGGGCTGAGAGTAGGGAGAGAGGGCGCAATTTTGGCTCAAAGACTCTTATCAACTTTTAGTAGATTTCCTTGAATAGATGTTTCTTCATTTGCCGTATATCCTTAAGACCGTTTCCAGATACTTCAAATGAATATCTTTTTATACTTTTCACCAGTTTCACTGCATAGTGGGTCTGTGGAGTTCCTTTGACTGTCATGCTGGAAGTTTATCCCCTGCAATGGTTTTTAACTTAATGTCGGCTTTTCTGTTGATATGTTATCTTACAGTTCTACTGTTTGAGTCAGGGAAATTTGAATACAAACTGGATATGTGGTGAATCTAAGGAACTGTTAAATTTTTTAGGTGTGATAACATTATTTTAAAGAGTTCTTACCTCTTAGTAATACATTCTGAAATATCTACAGATGAAACAATATGATGCATGGGATTTGCTTAAAATAATCAAGTGTGGGCTATAGGTGGGGAGGGGATGGGGACTACAGATGAAACAAGATTGGCTATGAGTTTATGTTATGTTGTATTAGTACTTATAGTAATTATTATTAATATGAGCTGCATAGTAGGAGTTCATAACACGATTCTTTCTACTTTTG